TTAAAATTCATGATGTCAGTAATCTATTTTTGGTTCAGTGCTTAGTTGTACATTCCATATGATGTGCCCATAGTGTTGCCTTTTTTTAATATATTTCACATGTTGAAGTTTAGCGTTTATTTTGAATATAGTCGATGCTTACAACTACTTTTACATCCATCTACTTTTTTAATGATAAAACTGTTTGACTTCATCAAATTTAATTCACCTTAACGTTCTTACTTTTGGGCACAATCACTCAGTACAAGCTTAACTAAGCTTATTTTAAAATAATATTAGTTGAAAAAATTTTTTATATATTCAAGATTGTTGGTAATTGAAGAAATATATTTAAGTACGGATTCTTATCATCTAAAATAATGTGTATTTGCATTTCATAATTACTACGAATATTAGACCTTAGGTACACAGGCTACGTAGAATTCATTTCCATGTGTCACTGTTGCACCTAGTACATTGTGCTTGTCCAGGCTTATGAGGTGTACAAGGTATTTCGTTTGCCAATCTTGCCAGTATTTCTTTTTCTCAGCGAAATTATATTCTTGTGAATACATTGGAGCTTTATCGTTTCTATAATCGCTAATCATTTTGGATATTCTCCAGAATGATATGAATTCCGTGTTGCTTATAAGAACAAGTTGGGCATTGTCTTCAGTAATGATAATAGACGTTATGTCAGTGCTGTGTAAACGTAGTATTCCTACAATGCTTGTGTCCTGTATGTCCCATATCAGCGTAGTACGGTCCTTTCCGCTGGAAACTAAATATCGTCCGCAAGCCGAAAATTTTACACGAACTGCACCGGCTTGGTGCCCTTTAAATATGCGCATTTTGTTGCCATATATGACGTTCCATATTATAACGGTTCCGTTGCTGGCGGCACTAGCTACGTAGTTATTATTAGGATGTACGTCAATGTCATAAACTTCTAATTGATCATTTTCAAGAATGTGCATTACGTTCTGGCCTTCAACCCATATGTGGACTGTTTTGTCATAACTGCATGATGCTATGAACTTATAATGCGATGGGAAACATACTCGCGAAACTGCAGACGAGTGTCCATTGTAAACTCGCAAACAAGTAAATAGTTCCATTGACCATACACGAATAGTTAAGTCATCTGCGCTGGAAACTAATACGTTATTAAATGGCGCAAATTCTAAATTTCGAACAATTCCAGTATGACCATCTAGCACCGCTTTTGATCTATTTTCAATATTTAACTGCTGCCGAATGAAGGTCATGTTACTTTGTTGTTCATCAATAAACTTTTCCACATCAACCAGCACAAAGATACGGTGCTGAACTGCAACGCCTAACATTGTTGCATCCTGAGAATAAGAAGCACAACTTACCATTCCAGCGTTACACTCGACGATGAACATGCGAATATCAGGAATTGCGTTCTGATTAAGCAGTTTTCTGGTTTGATAACGGTGGAATTGATCGTCTTTAACCGATTTCATATAGTCAGCCAGTGTAGGAGGTACATGACTTATCAACGGTGCGTAAGCTAAAAGTTCAGTGAAAGCCGTAGTACGCATTCCGATGTCTCTATACAATTTCAACGAGTTGTAGAGACAACCAGCAAGAAGACCATGCTTGATAACTTGCGAATTTATAACATTAATCAATTGTTGATCAGACACTTCGTCGTCCACTACATCGCTCATCTGAAAATAAATATTAAGAATAAGTCCTGATCTATATGCGAGCCTCTATTATAGTTATAGAATCGCACTATATGCAACAAATCATAAAAAGTGAAAATATTAAAGAAATTTTTCACGATTTTGATAACTTTGAAGTATTCAGCGAACAGTTGATAAGGCGTATGTGCTTTAAGGGCTCTTGTTTTTGAAATCAAAATTACACACTATTTCTATAAACTTTTTGCTTTTATATGAAGAGCCAGATTGGCATTCATTTAATTAGTTAATAATTGCATCTTACCTTAGCTTCGGAGCAATTATCAGACATTTTCGATAATAAATTAAAATTGGAAAAGACAATTTTATGAACACTTGACTCAATCAGAATAGACTCCGTGCGCGGATTTGAATGTAAAGAACGGAGTTGCCAGCTTTTTGTTTCTCTATTTAAAAATTTAAAGCATTTGCAAACTTACAACATTGCCATATTGATAATAAAAATATTTAAGAATGTGAGAAACTTTAATTTATGCGATTTCGTTTACACCATCCCTAAACCATGAGACTTTATGTTCTAAATTCTTCATATTAATCAACAAATACTAAATATTGTGCTGGAAACGGAATGAACACGAAGAAATAATAATTTCTCCAATTATTCTTTTATGTACAAAGGAATTAAGAAATGGAGAAAAGAAAACTAATTTAAAAAAATATAAATTAAACTAAAAAATATATTTATATCTTGGCTTTTGTGGACGGAGAAAGTCTTCGCGATCTAAAAGAGCCAACTGTTTCATTTTATTTTATTTGCACTGAAGTAAAGAAATCTCTTTTTAACACAATTGACAATGAATAAACGCATTCTAACATTCAAGATGTTTCCATATAATAATTTGTAAGTTTGATGTTGAGGATAAAATATATAGTGCCCAACTTTTTTGTCTTGACTTTAAAATATTTGATTATGATTTCTATTAAGACATAAAAATAATGCATATATAGAATTGAGTATCTATATCAAACGAGACATATAATTCGAACAGTCATTAAATGACATTGGCCTGGTCTAGATAAACTGTTGTTAAACAACTAATCACTGCAACACCAAGACCGTGGTTGATATATAACATCGATGGTAGTCATGTCTAATTATTATGTTTTTTTGAATACACGCCAAGCACACATTTAACTGCCAATGATAAGTGTTTTGTCTATATAGTTCAATTTATAAAAGATAAAGTAAAAATAAATTATAGTATATTATAGACATTATTTTAGGTTCCTGTTAAGTGACTGTAATTAACATATTTTTTATGTTAATGCATTGCAAAATAAATTCTCTTTAAAGTAAAATATGAAACACGATGGCATCCTTCAGGAAAATATCGACTACTTTGCTTTAGTATTTATGTGTAACTTAAAAGTGTTGCCCATTAATTATTTATTAGGGATATTCACTCTCTCTTGCAAGGAGCACAAAATGCAATAATGCTATACGAAAACTGTAAGACTGAGAGAACACCTCTGCTGTAAATTTGCATCATCAAAATGAATCAGCTGTTTTTGCAGTCGTCTCACATTTAGGAAAGAAAAATAGAAGTATAACAAAGCCGCGAATAAGTGAAATACAAAAATGTGTAGAGATTTTAATTGAAAATAGGGCTTTTAATATTCTGAATGAAGGTATTTATGGTATATATAACATATAAACTCTACTTCCTCCTGCAGAAATTCTATTATTTGGAGCACTACCCGCTCCGTCCACTTCTTGTGCGTCTGCAACCCTTTCTTTGCAGTTGCTGGTGCTCCGTCTTCCACTTTTACCTGATATATCTGAAATAATTAGGAAATTTTAAATAACCAAAAGTTGTATAATATATGAACAAATTTACCTTTCGCCACCAAACTTAAGTATAAAACTGAGAAGCAACAAATGTCAAAACAGCTGATTTCTGCCATTTCTGTTTTGTTGCAAGCAAATGTTTTGTTCATAGGTTTTAGTATAGGAAGATTGCAAACAATTGCACGAAACTTTGTGCGTGTATTTTGTTGTTGTTAATTGCATGCTCGTACAATTTGTGCATTTCGTGCACCTTGCAATGAATTTGCAAGAGAGAGTGAATACCCTCATTGTATTTTTTATTTTTTCACCGAACTTTATGTCGGTTTTATGTTTTAGATTGCTGTAAATGATATTAAACTATTTTATATTTAATATTAAAAATATGTAAAGTAATAAATTTTTTATTTCCAAGAGATTTCGGTGTTAATATTCCAGTATTATTTGAATTGCTGAAGTTACTTGTTACAATATTATTTTATTTCATGCATATATTTATTTTCTACGTGCGAACTTTATACTGAATATTTAAAAGTAGTTCTATCTCACTCAGACGTGTATGCGAGTATGAAACACTACTTGTTCCGTTTTCACTACAATAGTTTCTTTCTGTGACAGTCTGCGCATATATTAAAAGCATACGAAAAAACAACACTAGAATGCGCATGGAAGAGTACGAACGAAATAGATGAAGAAGAAGGAAATACAGATGGATATTCAAATATTGAATTATATATATTAGGTTACTTACTAAACTAAGAAAGTTTTGAAAGAGGGCAGACTGTAATAAAAATACTTTATTTATACCCGCTCTTCTATCTACTGAAGTTTCTATAACCTTAAATTAGAACAATTTGAATTTAGCCGAGTTTTTAGTTATTTTTTTATTATATATTTCTGACCAATACTTTTTTGATCAATTTGACCAGGTACACAAAGTCTAGTCATTGTTATCAAACTTAAGCCGATATTTTTCTCTTCTCTCCTTTTTAGTTTCTTAATTTATAATAATAAATAATAACAATTAATAACAATTTCAAATTTGATGTAGCCATGACTCTCTATAATCTTTGCCGCTAATTTAGCTTGCGACTTTACCAAAAGCCTAGATGATAACTACTAAAGAAAGCAAAAACTGCTTTCGTAAGCAATACCGAAGAGAAGGATCAGTGCAATCATAAAGCCAGAGTATGATCTATGTTTGAAAACCCCATCTAAAACTCACAGCTGATTCATAGCAGTAAGTAGCAAAGGTTACTTTAGGGATCCTTTCAGCTAAGTTTATAGTCAAGAATGAGAACCAGATATTCGACATTCATATTTAATCTTAGCGAACTTTGATAAAGGAGGAGGAATTTTTAACTTCATAGTATTAAACTCTCGAGAACCTAAATTCCAAATATAAAACAAATATATATTGAATAGAATATTTATAATATTTGATAAATGAATATTGGATATTCTGATTATTGTAATTTGTTTTTTATTGAAATGTATGTAGCAATAAATTTATAAATGGTTTACAGAGTAATAAATTACATTCGTTTCAAATTATTAATTTCAAAACTGGGCTTTTAAAATCAATTCAAATAACAAATTTTATAACTGTAATTGAAGTTTTTGTAAATGTCTGAGATAATCTATGGCGCAAGTTTAATAGTGGGCGCAACCAGCAGTACTTTATAATTTATAATTCTAATATTAGTCATTGTTATATCTTCGCTCGTAAGATGGATGCCTGTAGTTACTACGCTCAGAATGTTGGTAATGGCGATAGAAAGTAAGTTCACTGCAAGAATAAGAAAATTCACTTTAAGTTGTCATTTAATCCTAAACTCAATTTGCAAATTTTACCGTCGATCACGACCCATGTAAATTCCAGGCGTTGATTTATGAGGTTGCTTAGTAATACTAAATGCCACTCTAACTTTCCTTCTATGTATTATAAGATTCGAAGACGACCTAACAGCTTTTTCGGCATCGAACAGGCGCTTAAAATAAATAAATGCAAAGCCCCGCGAGTGGCCGGTCTAAAAAAACACAGAAATAATTAAAAAATCAAACTCTTGAGGTATTTGTAAAGTATCACCGTTCCATCTTTTACTAAATATATGTCGTCGATTGGCCCGAACTTCGAAAAAATTGATTCAAGACATGCAGCACCAGTAGTGACAGACAACCCAAAAATACCCACACAGGAACACGGCTCCGGGTGAAGCTATATGTAGAAATAATATACGTACACTTTTATACAAAAGTTTACTTCAAGGTTAAGTTTTGCTTACCCTTGCCCTTTCCTGCTCAAGATTACTAGGAGAATGGAAGTAACGGTGCTCACGGCGATAACCCGGTGATGGTGAATATCTTCTTCGTTCTCTAGAGTAAGATGGTGAACGCCAGCGCATGCGAGTGTAAGATCTAGAGCGATAGCGAACACGGGAACAAGAACGAGATCTATACGAACCCGGTGAGTTGGAACGAGAGACGTTACGACTGTATCGCGTGATATAACGTGCACGCTTATTGTCAGTAGAGAATGGCGATGAAAAACGACGATATCCGCCACTAGAAGGAAAAAAAATATTTATTTATTATCATAAAGCTGAGACTGTTAGCTTAATGGAGTAATAATCGCATTCCAAAGAACTTTGCGATTACTGACACTTCCAAAATTTCATCTGTCAAGTATCTTAGAACACTTAATGCCATGTTTTTTTATAATAATTTGATGCAAAATATTAAAGCTGTCAACATTGATTTCTTAAATTTGTTCTTTAGAATTGTACTGAAAATTGATTTTTATTCCTAATATTTTAAATGGTCAGAGTACAATTAAAGGTAATTTATCTTCAAGTTTCTTGAAATATAATGCTTTCTGTTGGCAAATTTAAAATAATTACAACAATTAATCTCACACTGAAATTATTTTAATTTTTTAGTTCAAATAAAAAATTAAATCTTGAACTCGAAAGAGAATAAAAATGTGTCTTACTTGGCGTCATGCCTACGTTCTTTTGAAACTGCACTTCGGCTTGATTGCGGTTCATAAAATCCTTCAGTTTCCATTCTGTAATACACAAAAAAAAAAGAATATAAAGCACTTATTTACAATAGGAATAAAAACAAAAAAATAGGTTTACAAAAATATGTGCATTTAATACTCGTATTAAAATTCAACTAACCTTCAAGTTTTGAACTATACCTATATGTATATTTTCTAGTACAAAATTGTGAATTTTTACTAGTAAAAGATAGTCAAAATCCGTTTAATCTGAAAGATACATTTAATGTTAATATAAATATATTTTCACATTTACACATTTTAATTTTACTAGAGATTTGCACTACGCAGATCAGTGGCTAGTAAGGCTAGTATTTACGTTAGCATTCTTACCTTATGTCAAGAGGTTTAGTAGCTATGTTTTTTAAATCTAACTTATTCAGTCAGTATATTAGCAAATTATTATAAAACTAAGAAGCGAAGAAGAAAAGTTAAATAAATTGTTTAATTGGAAAATTTTCTTTTTGGAATAAAGAAACAAACACAAAATTGATAAAATTTTTAGTGAATAAATTTGAGTTATATATTTTTAATCAATTCCATAACCTGCTAGTATTTTTAATAAATGTTCAATTAAACTTTATTGAAAATTAGAAACAAAATTTTTTACTTCCAATATTTTGACATAACTATAGACAAACGACTTATTCTTTGACATAACTAAAAAAAAATTTTCAAAAAATCATGCTCATTTTGGGAATGAGAAGCCAAAAAAGTAATACATATTGTGAAACCATTTAGCTTGATGTTTTTATATTAACTACTATTACTTATAAAATAGAAAAATAAATAATAATATAATGATAATGTAAAACTTCTTCGAGTTTCTGGCCAAAATGATAATTAGTCACTCTAACCTCAATCTGAAAGTTTGAGAAGGATCTAAAGAATCGTTCATATTTTCATTTTATTCATTTAAGATTGGCTTTTTTCCATCAAATATTTACTTTTAATTTAAAACATTACTTTATTAACGAATTAATAATATTACATTATATACAAGCTTCGTGAACACTCCGATTTATCTATAACTTAAATAATGCATATGTAATCTGGAAGATATACTCGCAACTACAACAAATTCAAGGCAGCCATCTTATAAAACAAAAAACTAAAGGTCCAGTTATTTTTCTGAATATTGAATTTAAGGCAGCTAGTTTTTAATAGACTAAAAATCGTACTTATTTTCCAAACCAAAATTAATTAATAAATTAAAGTTAATTTTTAAAGTTTAATTGTCAAAAATTTAAAGATTTCTGTAGCAAAATTTTTTTTCATAACTTACCTAAGACACAACAAATTCACGAAATTCGATTTCTTATTTGAAAAACGTTTATATTGAATAAGAAGACACGGTTCAAACGAATTTTTGCTGTCTTACACGGACGTTATGGCGTTGTACACGACGTGTTACCGAATAGGAATGATGCTCAGCTCGGTATTTATTACGTTAGTTGCTGTGTTTTTCTCAGGGTTGCTGTGAAATATGTACACAGTTGCTATTATGTGAAAGGTAAGGTTAGGGCAATTAATTGCCATGACCGTGGTATTCTTTGGTGGTAAATAATGAGATAGTTAAAAACAAATTTCTAAACTCTGTAATTAGGTATAGGCGTTTTCGGTGAATCGCAAGTGTGGTAAAAAACAATATGTTGCTGCCCTATACTGACCGAAATGTATGCAAAACAACAATAATATTTTCTCTATTTAGGCCAGTAGTTGTGTACTGGTCACACATTTTGGCCAGTGAAGATATAAATTATTCATTTAATTAATTATTAATTAATTATTTATACAATATGTGATTTGCTTGCATTATGTGCACATATGCAAGATTTGTCAAATCTCGCTTAGGGAATATAGGCCAGCATGCAAAATTTGTGAGCCACCATAAACGCCTTATATATCTACTATTATACTTTTGTATTATCATAGGCTTCTGACTTTGATAAAAATTATTTAAGTTATATGGCGTTTACACTGGCCCAAAATGACTCATTTCAAATAAGTCATTTGAAAGTGTTTACATTCGTTGTAATTGATTTGTTCTCATTTCAAATAGCTGATTTGTCAAAATGCCTCTTGGTATGATTTTTGACCTGTGCCAAAAAAATGTTGAATTAAGATAAAATATACTTTCACACATTACAAACTTAAAACTTATTTTTAGCTTGGTTTAAGTACTTTTAAGTGGTAGTTCCAAAATGAGATGCATCGTTTTAAAGGAAATGCAACAACCAAATATTTGTTTACCTTTTTTTTGTGAATATGTCAAAAACAGCTTTCTCGAACTGTCAAAATGCAATAAAAAGCTTTTATTTAGAATATATCAACGTATTCATTTGCATTTGGAACATATTTGGAACTCATTCTGACCTCATTTATACAGAATGAGATCCAATGGATCTAATTTGCGCTTGAGATTTTGTATGCAAAAATGAGTCATTTCTTTCTCATTTTTGATTTTTGACTAAAATGAGCTATTTGAGACCTAAATGCCATATTATGATTTTTCATATTATGATTTTTCATAATATGGCATTTTTCTACTGAAAAATTAACTGTTAAAAAATTTTAAAACACCGAATCTGTTAAATATCAGATTTCGTAAGAATTTAAAACGATAATGCATAATTTTTTTAATAACTATTTCATACAGCAGAATTATTTATATAAACATATGTACTTAAAATTTAAAAAGACTCAAGACAGAATTTCTAATTTATTTCTTATTATATAAAAAAATAATTGGAGTATTCAAGATTTTTGCGCATCGTTGAATGTGCATCACGCTTATTTGTAAATTCGTGAATTCATTTTTGGGATATATGTCTAACATACTTAGAACAGCTGATTTTGGTTTTTGTATTTATTAACTTATAAAATATAACTCAGATTCGATATGCATAATTTTAACGATGCCAAAAAGCATAAAAAGCAGAACTAATGGATAATATAGATTTGCACATTTATATGTCATATAGATACAAACATATAGACGTATAGATACAAAGTCAAAAAATTGTCAACAAAACTTGACAGTTTCGCTAGAATATTACCCAGCGAACACTAAAAAAAAGTAGTATCATTCACAATAAAGTCTTGAGAATCACATATGCAAGAGATTATTGGTGTTGAAAATATGATCATGCATATTACCTTAGAAATCAATTGCAGAATCATAAGAAAGAGAATTGTTTTTGTAAAATCAAATAATTTTGCACAATTATTTTGAATACACAAAATATACTTTTGTCTGCATCAACCATTTCTTCATTTTGACTGTGAGTTCACAAGAGGAACCACCAAACATATAAAGGGAGCTTAATTTTGCTTCCTTAAAAATAAAACGCGAGACTTATATTTGCTATTCAAAAATAAGTTGCATACAAAGCGTTTTATTTTTGCCTTCAAAAAATAATAGTTATTATTTATAGTTATAGGAATTTTGCAATTTTTTCATTTTGCATTTTAAAACAAACAGAAAATGGATGACTTATTTTTGCAAGGGAAAGTAAAAGGCAAGTAACAATAATTATTTTTGGAAACTATAATTTTAATAATAAAAAAAAAAATAAAACAAGTGATCCTTTTATTTCATTTTATTTTATTTTATTTTATTTTAACGTTTATCAGCGAGCGTAAATAACTTGCATTAGTAAAAATTAATAAAATCATCATAAACTTTTGATGTTTGTTGTTGTTTGAATACAATATCTTGAACAAAAAATTTTTACAATATAAATATAAATGGATTCAATCTTATTTAAAAATAAAAATATTGGGTTTCTATCACATATATAAATATTAATATTTATAGTATTTAAACTTTATTTACATTTTATATTAACTGAAATTTTAAAAATTCATTTTTGAAAAATAAATGTGGAAAAAATATTTTTCAATATTTAAATTAAATATATTTTTAAACTTTTATTTATTATTTTTGGATTATTTTAATACATTTGTGTGATTTAATAGGCCATACGCTTTTATTCTCCGTATTGCCTTTGCTCATACGAGTCCTGGCCCAGTATGTTGGACTGTGCATGTGCTTGGCTCAATTTATTTGTTTTCGCTCATAAAAATATGAATTCATTACACTACAAAAATGTAAAATTGCATCTGGTTTTTGCCAACCGCAGAATTTGTTGTGCATATGCATTCATGCAGCACAAAAACTGCATCACACCGTGAAAATAATAGGCGACTCTTCCTTCCGTCATATATCCGCGCATGTTTTCCCAGCTGATTTATTGCATTTCTAAGCACGCAGCGTACAGATGCAGATGCCACTAAAAATTCGCAACAAATTTCCGGAAATGCATTTATTTTGAAACCATTTTACGGAAGAATAATTTGAATGTTGGTGGATGCGAGTGAAAATGTTCAACATGTTGGTGACAGCTATAATAATGATGACGACTATGTGACGGGTGTAAAATTACTTAAAAAAAGTTATTTCATATCATATGTGTAAACTAAGTTGCTTCACTCATTCAGCTTTAAAATATGATTTCGCATATATTTTTTTTTTTTTTGTGATTTCAACCTTAATTAATAAATAATAGAAAATAATGTTGTAGAATTAAAGAAGCCAATAATACAACAGCCGTTACAGATAACTTATCGGTATTTGGTCGCTTCGTTAAAATTTGGTCCATATATCGAGAGTCGGAAATTTCTTTAAATAATATTTATTACCCACCTGACCACATAACAGACTAAAAGACTTCTTTTCCTTGATTGCTTTAAGTTATAGCTAATATTATTCTTCTATCCAACTGGAGCATATTTGGTCCATATTTGGAGACTTAAAATTCCTCCAAATAATTTTTGTTGCCCACCTGAGTATATAACAGACTAAAAGACTGGTACAATGCATCTTTTCCTGGGTTAAGATGTATAAGATGTATCAGGAGAATAGGTTTTTTTTAATCCCAACTTTTTCAGTACGAGATTCTTAGAATTAAAAAACTGATGTATAATTGAAAAGTTTTCCATTTTTAGATTTTTTAATTGCTTATGAATATTATAAATACTGAATAAAATATAAAATATCTGTGGGTCACTTTTGACAAACGGTTCAATTGGCTTGAACATTTGAAATACAAATGGAATAGCTGGTCTAAGATTCTACATATATTAAAGGCGCTATTTAATAATTATCACTTCAACTTTAAAAACAGAAAGTTACTTTATACGCAAGTAATTAGACCAGCACTACTGTACGGATGTGTTACATTTAGCAAATCTTCAAATACTACCTTAAAGCAATTACAGATAGCACAAAACCTGGCTTTAAGAAGACTGTTTAAGATTCCGTGGTATATTAGATCAACAGACATAAATAGAGATCTTAGGATTGACTCAGTAAAAAAATCTATCAGAGATAGAGCTCTAAAATTATTCACTAAAGTTGATACGCTACGTAACCCCGCCCTAACAATCCTCAAGTCTACTTCTGGACTCTCAAGAAGATATGCTGATTTAAGGTCCATCATCAACTAAAAGACAAATAAATGGTATGACTTCTTAGTCTAGTTAAAGCCTAGTGTGGGGTAGTGATAGCCCCCCAGCCATTATAGAGTAAAAGTGCATAATAGCACTAACTCAAGAACAAGAAGAAGAAGAAAAAGAATACTAATAATTTTTGGAAGTTAGAAGAAATTGTATTTAGATGTATATATGGACAGTCTGGCAAGTCTGTCCAGATCTTATCCTTTCCATTTACTCAGAAATTATTTAATTGTATCTCTTTTTCTACCTCTCCATATTTCTGTAATTTTTATTGAGTGATATTAAATTTTTCGGTATAAATAACCACCTCACACTTTGAATTCTTGGTTTGGGTATTGATTGATATCAGTTAAAGCATAGTAGTAAGAACGACAGTGAATTACGCGAAATTCCAGAAACTTTCTGCAATTAATTTCGAACTAATTTTATTTCCAAAACTAAATAAATAACTTTTAATTTGAACTTTTATTTGATGTTTTTTGTTCCATAACCCTAAAGATATAAGTTACCAATCTCATTGGTACTCATTATTTTGCTTTTTTAAAAAAGCTGCCCTTATGTGGGATAAGGACTCTCTTTTCATTGTGAAATATTATTTCGCACACATATTTAGGAAATGCAACAGCCTCATATACCCTTTGGTTATGCCCATGATTAGAACAATCTTATTGAACTTACTTTAGTCTTTCATTGTTGTTGGATGACAATATATTGAATATGTGGTCTCATCAACCATAACCTCAATTACGAATTATAATTGCCCTAATAATTAGTAGTTGAATTTTTCAATTATAATTACACTTGTAATTTAGCAACTCAATTACCAATTATGATTAATTGTAATTAGTAATTGAGAGTATTCTAATTATAAAACTAATCATTACTGCACAGCTCTGCCAGTAATAATATAAAATTTCAAATAGATTGCGATTTTCTTTAATTTTTTCTAATAGTTTTAGTTTAGTTTTCCAGTATCTTTCTATTGTTTCAAAGCTCGCAATGAATGAATGTTTTTGTGTCCAATTTATT